GCCACGGAGCCTCCTGCATACAGGGGCTGTTGCTACCCCACACTGCTGCGTTGATCTAACTTATAAATGTTATGAGCAAATTCTTTCATAATTTGTATACCATTTCCAGTGAAAGGAAAGACAGCAACCACTAGTCTCATATGGGGGTAAAATCAGTCTAGAACTGTGAGATAAACCAGAAGGGAAACATCAATTGGTTCATTAATTCAGTTTTTTTTTACTCTATATTAGAAAAATATATCCTAATTTAATTATACAGGGTGCAGATGATCCTCCAGCCAACCCACCAATGAAAGCATGAAAAATAGCAGGAAAAATTCTGAGGGAATAGATTCTAAAACTGTCATGGGATTATATTCAAACAATGCATAAAAGCTTTAATACAGTCATTTGTGAAGGAGTCTAAATTTAATTTTGCTGTGAAAGGAATATGAGGTAAAGCTTCCAAAAGTGTGCCAAGTCAGTTAGAGATAAGGTGGATATCAGAGTGCCTTTTATTGGGCTGACTTCTGTTGGTGAAACTTTTGACTTCACACAGAGCTCTTTTTCTGGTCTGGGACAGCTACTGAGTGTCACAGCTAAATATAAGGTGCAAGAATTCACACCTTTGCACTGGACAAAAGCTGTGTTTTGGGGTTACAGAGTGGTAATAAGCATTAAATCTGGCATCTTTATTTGGACATATACCCAGAATACTGGAGAGTCTGGTATTTCTAGGAATGGCACGGGGGTGACCCCGATCCTTATCAATGTGGTGTATGTGCAGGGTCATGCCATGGGGGGGTGACCTTATTCCCACTGGTGTGACCTCGCACACTTAGTGTGTGAAGGGTCATGCTGGTGATGGAGCGGGGTGTTCTTCATCCTGTGTCAGATACTGGGCAAGACCCAGGTCTGGTTTTATGTCCATGCTGAACAGGGAATAGACATTACAAAAGCAGGACCGTTTGGTTTTAAAACCAGATGAGTGGCCTGCCTACTTCCTAATTTTTCTGCCTAGAAAAGTTACGAATTTGAGCTCCCACACTCATCTTTTGAAGGTTTCCTTTGAGGATGAAGACTGAGAGGTTCAGTGTGATCACTTTGTGAAAGGGATTCATCTACCAGTGTGAAAGGGATTCATCTACCAGTGATAAGGTGTTTTTTTTATCTCCTCCTTTTTCTCTGTCAGCCACTTAGGTGCTTTTGAAAATTTTACCCATGATGCTTTACAGTTCAGGGAGTTCATGCAAGCATTTTGCCTTGCTTTCTGCTACTTGAAAGCAGAAGTAAAATTTGAGGTTTGCTTGGTGCTGGAGCTCAAGTTTGCATTTTGAGCAGAAAACAGGAAGGGGTCACTGTGGACAGGACTTTTCAATCAGCTGATCTTCCGTGTTTGATGCAGTTAACTATTTTAGTTTGCAAGAGGTGATATAGCATAATTGAATCAGATAGAAGGGCCTGAAATCACATGTTATATTGTGCCAACTGAATGAGAAATGCAAATACAAATTTAGCTGCTGAAGTTTGGGGTAATTGTCTGTATGCAATAACAAGTGTTGTTTTAGTCAAGCATTCTTAGAAATTGATTTAGACTTGCATGTTAGATGTATCATAAAGAACCACGCCTACCTAGAAATACGACTAAAGATTAAAAGCTTAACTTGGGAGATGGCATATTTTGAAGATGACATTTCAAAATATGCCATTGAAAATTAAGGGTTTACGTTCTTGCCTGAAATAAAAACATGAAAAAGTTTCTTTTTATGAGTAAAGGCATTTGTCAATCATACATTGATTCAGCCTAAATTCACATCTGGGGCTGTACATTCATAAATCCCTTTGTTTGTGTCCTAATAAAAGTAACAAAATGCAGCACTGCTGTATCCCACAAGGTCTTGCAGAGAAAAGCGCAAGTTTGTATGAAAGGTGCTACTGATCAGCTTGAAACTAAAAAGGAGGAAATAAACCCTTGCATGACAGTTAATAAGCCAGCACCATTCTGTGTGTGAAGTTACTAAGGCACCTGTGACTCTAACTAAGAAATATGAGTTGGGTTAGGTCTGCGTATGGGTTAGGACCTATACTTCCCGAAGGGTTCAGCTTGAGTGTCAACGGGAGGAGTGCAAGTTTGAAGTATAGACAACTCCCATTTTTACAAGAGGGTTAGACAACATGGTAATAAACTGTTCGAGTCCTGTCTGTAGTTGTCTTCTTTATAACCTTTGTACTCCGAGTGGAGCATAGGTCATCTACAAGTCTCCTCCACTTCACTCTGTCTTGAGACAAAACTTCTAGCTGACTCCAGGAGTACCCCAGTTGTCCTTCAATCTTCTCCATGTTGTCAGAGGTCTTCCTCTTTTGTGTTTTCCTTGCGAGTTCCATGTGAGAGCTTGACGGACTATGCTGGATGATGGTTTTCTGAGTGTGTGGCCTAGCCATCCCCACTGTCTTCTCTTGATTTGAACGTCAAGTGGTTCTTGTCCTGCTGTGTTCCAAAGCTCCTCATTTGTGACAAAGTCTTGCCATTTGATGTGAAGGATGTACCTCAGGCATCTGTTTATGACTCTGGCAACAGGTGAAACCCTCATCTACTCAAGCCTGTCTGGAGTACCTCCTCCAATTATGAGTCTCAGTTGAGTGTGGATGTCTTCCTAGTGCAAATTCCCAATCTGTGCGGTGATGAATTCTGAAGTCAATTGTCAGTTTAACAGAATGCAATGAGAATGTTGTAATAAATGTTCTGTCTTACAGAAACTGAATTCTTAACTACCAAAGTGACCTGTTTCAGAGTTGGTGATTCAGCTACAATGAGTCACTTGGGTTTGCTTGTAGTAGAATCAAGCAGAACAAGGGAATTTTCCTTTAAAAATTCCTGGGAATTTTCGTGCAGAAGAATACTTTGAAGGGTTTTAGTCATTTGGCAATACTCTTTCGTTTTTGCTTCATATTTTGAGTCCTTATGAAATTGTTAACATGAGTAGTTTTTCATATTTGCAAACTAAGTCTGCTTGATTGTAGTAAGACTAAGAGCCTTTTGGTACTGACTTAGAACTTCCCTCTTTTTTGGGTGACTTCTTTTAGTTGGTTGCATGGCGTCTGTCATGGGCTGATCTTTTCATAGAATTCAAGGTAGGGATGTTAAATTTAGTTTTAATCAACTAACTGACTAGTTGATAAGCGGGGGAGCTGCAATGGGGTTAGCTCCTTACCTGGGAGCCAACCCTGCTGCGGCTCAGCCTTTTAAATGTATTAAGATCCTGTTGGCTCTTAATACATTTAAAAGGCTAAAGTGCAGCAGGGGCAGGACCCTGCGCGAGCCAGGAATCAGCTGTCCTGGCTTCTGCCTGATCTCCCCTGCTGGCCAGCTCTTAATAAGTTTAAAAGCTAAAGTGCAGTGTCAGGGACCCACCCAGTGTGAGCCAGGAATCAGCTGTTCCAGCTCACACCATGTCTCCTTCGCTGCGCTTCTGATTTTTAAATTTATTAAGAACTGGCAGGTTCTTAATACATTTAAAAAGCCAGAGGCTCTGCAACTGGGCATGAGCTGGGAAACAGCTGATTCCTGGCTCACACCTGGTCCCCGCTACCCCCCTGCTCCCATGGAGACAGTGATGGGTGGAACTGGCTTTTAAGCACCAGCTCCTACTCTTCTCTCCCCTCTCCCCCGCTTCCTCTG